TCTTCGAGTTAGTCCAGTTGTCATCTCGGCAGTCATCTTCCGTTGGCCACGGTGCAGTTCAGCCTGTCATCTTCGTCTCCTACTCCTACAGTGGGAAGTTCTGCTTTCCCTGGCTGCAGATATGAGAGCAGGCAGCAAAAGAGCATAAAGACTCAAGACCTCCAGTGTGAACAATGTAAAATTACAGCGAAGCAGCAGTGAAACCATGCCACGAGCATTGATACCAACCAAAGCACCCTTGTGTTACAAGTTTACATAGTAATTTACAACCAAAAAGCATTGTTAATGGCATATAATGAAGTCCCTTGAGAGATAGTTTAGGGCATAAAAACTGACTCCTTTCCTTGTTCAAAAATAACTCAAATAGAAATTGACCTTAATACTTTTTCAAGTTCCTAAAAGCTGCTCATTGATTAAAAAAAAATCACTTGTTATTTTTCCAGAGAACCTGAGTTTGGTTCCCAACATCCATATCAGGCAGCTGATATCTACCTATAATGCTAATTATAAGGAATCCTACACCTCCCCCGACTTGCTTGAGCACTTCAATGAAACAGTATGTGCTCAAGACACAAACACAAAAGTAAAAATATTTGTAAAAAGTATAAATTTATTATGTGAACAACAACTCTAAACATGTACTTGCTTCGAAAAAATTATCCACATCTAATCATCTTGACAAGTTTGTTTTCACATCACAAACCTTTGTAGTTCTTATTAATGTGCACACGTAATCTATCTCAGTCTCACAGATGCATTCTGTGTACTATTCATCGTGTGCAACTAACAATCCCCATGAAAATTATCTACAGAGCACTTGCACTGTTGATTGGTGTGGGATATTTGTAGGCTGTGTGTGTGAAGACAGATTGCTGTGATTGGTATAATAGCTAAATGACTGATAGTTAGGCAGGAAAGACAGACAGAAATTCCATGTAGAGAAAGGAAGAGGCGATAGTGGAGGCATGCAAGGGATGTCAGGGAGACTCTGAAGAAGCAGACTGTGTAGAAGAGATAGCAGCCACCAGTCATGTGTCAGAATGTAGATGACTAGAAATGGGTTAATTCAAAAGGGATAATTAGAAACAGCCTAAAATATAGGCTGAGCTTTCATAAGAGGTCTTTCTGTCATTTTTTTTGGGGGGGGGATGTTGTGGCCCAAGAAAGCTGGGCGGCAAGTTGATGATCACTGAATAAGATTTCCATCTTAAGTTATTGCAACTTTGTATCTAGCATCACTACCAACTGATCGGAAATAATACCATTTCTCTGATCAAATCATTCCTAGTTCTGTATTTATTAGGAAGAAATGTATGTGCACTTAAAACATACTCAATTGACATGCAACGATATTCATGTTATCACATTACTAGGGTTCAATGTGCTGCTTCATTGCTGCTTAGAGCCTATTCTACTTAGCACCCCTGTGCTCAGATCATCATTGTTCTCCACCCAGGTCAGTTGATAGTTGCTTCAACTTCTTCCTGTGAGCCATGCTGTGCTTCTTGCCTCTGTGTTTTTCTGTTCTTAAGGGAGCTACAACAGTGACAGTGTTTTGATATGAAATATGACAGCCCTGGAATTTTGTAACATATTCTCATTAGTGTGACTCCCACAAAAAACTTAAAATATCGTAAGCAGATTGGTCCCCACGCCAGAATCTCCAGGGGCTATGGCAGAAGATTTTGTGGCTGGACACTGTCTTCTGTCTTAATCCATTGTGCTGCTATTTAATGGGACAATGTGAGCCTATGGAGAGTAGCTGTAAAGAAAAGTTGTAAAGAGAAGCATTCTAATAGTATGTAGGTAAAACAGTTCTAAAGAATTCAAGTTTTGCTTCTGGCTTATGCTCCACCTCTACTGCTATCTGAGTTCAAGAATTTAGCTTTTAGGGCTGGAGAGATGGCTCAACAATTGAGAATCCTGACTGATTTTGCAGAGACTGTACTTGAGAGAGTACGGACTTTTGTTACCAGAACTCACATGGAGGCTTATAACCTCCCATAGCTGCGGAGGATCTGATACATAGATGTTAGACACTAGGCATTCATACATGTACACAGTTTAGATAGATAGATAGATTGATAGATAGATGATAGATAGATAGATAGATAGATAGATAGATAGATAGATAGATAGATAGATAGATAGATAGATAGAGGATTGTTCCAGGGAGGCTGGGTTAATATTATATTATCATCATATGATATGAAATGAGGGCAGGAACCTTTAAAAGTTTTCATAATTACTCTTAAATCAGAAGAGTCTGGGACAATTTCATTTAAAAGCCTGAACTAAACTGCAGATATCAATGTGTGTCTGTAAGGACATGTTTAGTTTTTATCGGCCACAGTTTTTTACTTTACACAACACTGATTTGTCGTGTGCTTGCTCTGTGTGAGCGCAGTTGCAGATTCTGGGGATATAAGGATTAATACGAAGGTTGCTTTCATTTTCCAGTTATTGAACAGTATGTTGACCTTTGACAGTTTATTCTTAAATGATATTTACACTGAAGATTTCATGGCAGGACATAGCTGTTTACACATCATGTTCTGTCTTCGTCCACTGCACTACTATAAAATGCTACCCTATGACCAGCAGTTAAAAGTCAGATGTTTATTTTATTTTCGTTCTGGAGGCCAGAAGTCCATGGTCAAGATGGCAGATGTCTGAAAAGAGCTGGGTCTCTATTTCTGGGACTGCCATTTGTTGCTGTAGTCCCTAGGGACAAATGTTGTGTTCGCACAATCTGGAAGGGTCTATCTTCCCAGCCTTCTTATGCATTGCTGCACCATCTTCAGAATTGAACTCTACAGCTTTGTACAAGTGCACTTCTCTATCCTGTTATATTGGGAAGCAAGTTTCAACATGAACTTTGAAGGGGACATTATTGAATGATAGCAAATTTCTTCAGAAAACGAAACAAAACAAAGAGTTTCAAACATCAAATATTCCTGAGAGGTTTCTGTTTCAATCCAGAGTCCAGGAGAGATTTCCACATATCTGAAGGAACTGGGTAAGTAAAAATATAGTTTTATTTTCATATTGAACATAAAATAAATGAACCCTCAGGAGAGACAAATAAGCTGAACACTGTGCTTCTCTGAGAATGGTTGGCAGAAATTTCCCCACCTACTGCTCATGCAGAGGAAACCTGAGTTCTGGAGAGATATCTATATGTCAAGCTAAGGCTAGGGAACGCATATGACAGGAGTTTGTAGAGGAAAGAGCTGTACAAAGAGAGCCTCTCAGGATTTAGCATCTCTTAGTCTTCACTCAAATGGCGCAGGCACCCGAGGAAGTGACCTGAGATGTACAGAAAACAAAACTGAAAAGAACAGAGAAACAGTTCTTGCAGTTTACCTAAGCACAAGAGTACTTATTCTCCAAAATGTAGAGCTCTTACCCCCAGTGTGCTACAATCTATATTGCTTGAGGCATTCAGGAGAGATCAGTCATAACTCTATGGAATGGTTACTCCTAGACAGAGCAAGGCTCTGGAAGGAGAGATAACTAGACGGTCATTCTTTAAAAGGTCTTATCATTCCAAGCAATGTTCCTGCAAACCAGTGCAGTATTAAATATAATAAGCTAGCTATGAAATAAACAGGGCTTCTGTGTTCTAGGAGGCAATACCCGGTTGACTGGCATAACTGACGTATCTGAGATGTACACAAATATTGTTTAACGCAATGGCCATGTATTTTCCAAATGAGGTGAATAAGTTCACACCCATATGAACTCAACATCTCAATGTTCATTAAATTTCTCAAGACAAATAATAACAGCTAAATTTAAATTGCATCTATAAAAGTCAGCAAAGGCAGGTGGCAGTCCATGTTACATCTAAGCAATTCTTGCTAAAAACCAGATAGCGGGCCGAGAAAGGTCAGTTAATGGACTTTACTCTGTAAACATTGCATTCTGAAGTGACGGTGCAGAGAGAGTTTCAGGTCACCAACAATTCTAAACACAGCTCTAAATTCAAATTAAATAATAATACTTAAACTGCCCTCCATAGGGGCTGTGGAGATGGCCCAATAGATAAGAGACCCTACTGCTGCTCTTCCCCAGAAGCCAGCGTGACACCAGTACCTACGTCAGGTGACTCCGAGCTATCTGTAACTTCAGCGCCAAAGGTTCTGATAGGGTAGAGCACAGTAGGATTCAGTGTGAGAATACAGAGCCTACTGAGATAAGGCAGGGTGGGCAGAGTTTGGTGGGTGAGGAGATAGCATGCATGACAGAAATCTCTTGAACAGACTGTGACTTTCTGTCCATCTGGGAGTTCAATGATTCTTCCTGCTTAGTCTCCCACCTGTCCTCAGCCATTTCTCAGGAGCTGATGTTAGGTCAGGCCCTGGCTAGCAGTGGTAACCTATGAACAATAATAAAACTCCCCCAAAGAATATGAACAACAGCAAAAAACCAACCTTTTCCTCTATACATATTGCAGCTGAAAGTGAATGAAGATGCACGTACCAAGTACCACCATGAAAGGATATGCACATTGGGTTGTGTGGATTAAGTTTTAATAAAACTTTAAAAATATGAAACAAAGGCTAATGAGAGCATTGTCTCTCTGTCCTGCATTGCCTTTGGTCTGGCTCACAGTCATTCTTTTCTTCTACATTTTCAAGTCCAAAGAATTATATTTCATTTATTTAAGAACCCAGCTATTGCATTATGCTTACACTGTGAACTCTGATCAAAAGTAAATAAATAAATAGAAAAATAGATAGTAAGGCATAAGTAGTTACGTGAATGTGGCCGAGCATGTTTCTTTACCATCCACTGCGTCACTAGTGACTTAAATTTGTTCTTGTTATTTGTTTCACAGTTTGGATGAGCGCACATACAGTTGCACGCAGCCCTAATTTCAAATGGTTTTGCGTGAGTTTTTGACACCTCAGTGATGAGAAAGTGACACATATTCAGAAGAAAACTGCACCTCAAACTTTAAATTTGAAGCTCGTGACAGGTGCTGTGATACTCACTGTCAAGGCTGGCTGCGGCAGAGCCACGAACCCTCATCAGCCTCCAGTTATGAGCATAAACAGTCAACACTCTGCAGCCGATGTTTGAAAAGCTAGGGGTCAAAAGGTTAGTTGTGTTAAATGCGTGTTTACATGACATTTCAATTTATAAGAGACTTATCAAGAAGCAAGGCTCTTGTAAGTTGAGAAACTCCAGTGTGTGTACATTGTTTTATATGCACGCATGATATGTATGTAGCATCAATATAATTAATAATTTGATACCACCTCTGAAACATCAAACACACACACACACACACAGGATACATGCACAAGTCCTACACATCTATTTGTGTATAGACAGGTTGTCATATTAACAGTTTTTGCCCTTCTTCGAATGAATAGCTAAGCAAAGCAAATTCGTGTTATTTTACTTTAGTGTAGATTTGTAGGAAGGTTTATTTTCCATCATAATTAACCTAGAAAGGCAACATCTATTTATTTGGTTACTTATTTGCTTGTTTGTTTATGTATTTAACGCAGTGTATTACGCTATGGTTCACACACACCTGGGACTCACTAGGTAACCCAGGCCAGTCTCCAATCACTGCTAGGATTATAGACATCATCCATCTCCTCTAACTAGCAAGGAAGCACTGATTTCAAACAAGGCTGCCCCCCCACAACAGGCCAATTCAGTATATAGAGAAATTGAGTTTCACAAGTCGTAAGCTAAAGGATTTACTTGGATTTCTGTCTGGTATTTTGTTCAGAAACGCAGCTCATTATTCCCTGTCCATCTATGGGTCATGACCTACAGTGAGTGAGTCTAGATTTCATGTGTATTTAAAATTTATACTATAACTGATATTCTCCTGTGACAGACATCCAGGAAAACAGGAATTTTATCGAGCGTAGTTGAGATGTTACTTAAAATAACTCCTCACTGTAAGTTAAAAGCACCTTTTCTAAGTGTTTGCAAAAGAAACGCATATCAGATACATGGTTCCCTTTTCTCTGTGCTGAGAATGACATTTCCTTTATTTGTACTTTTACATGTAACATTCCCCAGCATACTGAATTAGACTTAAAGCCCATAGTACCTTTAAGAACTTTAGAAATACAGAGGCCTGTTTTCTCAGTTTTTTTTTTTTCAAACCACACCAATGACATCAATACTCTAACTTTGTCTTCTAGGTATTTCAATATATCCTAAGGATTTGTGCATCCACAGTAAGAAGAATTAGAAAGGACAGGTCCTCTCCCTATTTAGAACCATGTGTGGTCACATGGAAGTCTCATCTTGGGGGATGTTAGATCAATCACAAGTCCCTTGGGAACCTGTCACATAGATCAAGGCCAACATTGATTTCTTCTGCAAAACTGGGATGAAGAATCTAACAAAGTGGAAATATGGTTTTTAAGAAGGTATTTAAAGAGCTCCAGTAAGTGTTTGGGTGACCTGGAGCTGCGTGACTTTGAACTTTGAGTTGAACTTTGAGCACGTGTCTCCTTGCTTCTCTTTGCTGCTCCACACTGCTCTAAGCTGTAGCAGCGAACACAATGCAGAGAGATAAACTGATGCTCCTAAGACATTGGAAATGGGTTATTATGAAGAGAGAGATTCCAGGAAACTGACCATCCTGTAGATAGATCAGCGGTCTCAACCCCTCCTATCACAGTGACTCTTTAGTACAGTTCCTCACGTTGTCGGGTTGCCCATCCATAAAATTATTTCATTGCTACTTCACCAAAAAATTTACTACAGTTATTAATTGTAGTGTAAATATCTCAGTCCCACCCTCCAATGGGCTGTGCCGAAAAGTTGAGAAGTACTGCTTTAGCGCAGAGTTGGAAGTGGGCTAATGTTGCTCATGGGCCCTCTGTGGAGGCAGTTCTCTTTCTGGGACCTTTGGGGACCCATGCCCTCTTCAATGAAGGACTTTAGGAAACTATGTACCAAATTAGCTAGTGAATAAATAATCTGCGTACATTATTTCATGCTACTAGATTATTTTGTTCACTCCCTAATTCATTTATTAAAATGAACTCCTGAGATGGGCCAGCCTGGTGTTTTGTTCCAATATTTTCGATAATAAGGACCCAGAACAAATCAAACTCTTACACACATTTCCCAACTTATCACTGACAGAAATGCTATCAGCATGATGTTCAGGTGAGAGGTCAGACTGAGAAGTAGAGAAAGAGAAGTCATTCTTATTCAAGGGATCAATTAAATGTAAAAATAGACTGTTTCTGGGCAAGTGACCCAAAGGAAGAACACAGGTCACTAGGACCTAACTCCAAAGATTTGGAGAGAAGTCAGCAGCTCATTTTCAAAGATAAAAAAGATATCACTACTACTGTGATTGTCCCTACCTTTCTAAATGTGTGACCTCCAAACCTGCTTGCCCTATTGGCCTGGCCTGGCGTCTACCAGTACGAAAAATCAACACACCAATACAAGGCAGTTTTCTTTAGACTCTTTTGTTGAATGCAGTCTCGCTTCTAAATGTTTCCATGGCTCTGGCACCAGGTTATTTGTTAGTGTCTGACCTTTCTTTAAATTCGATGAGACATCACAGTTCTAAGGAAGGGAACAATACTTCTGCTTTCCGTGCCTTTTAGCTTGGATGGACCCTTGCAACAAATGATTAATTAAAAATAGAAAGTCTTTTTTTAAGATATGTGAGTCACCAGGGATTTGCTTCATTTAACAACATGGTTTTCCAGTCCAGCTTATACGGTGTCTTTAACACACAGCTGTCTGGACTTCAGTCACTGGTGCTGTGGGAATGGCAATCAGGAAGAGTTACTGAGGTCTAGTGCTGTAGATGCATTGGTGTCTGGTAGGGTCTAGCATTACCTCGCTTGGTAAACAATTTTTTCTCTGGTTTTAGGAGAAGGAAGGTACCTATGTGCCGATTACTGCTTTGCCTTATTTCTAGGAAAGTAAAGCCAACCCAGGGTTTCTCTTTTTTCTATTTATTATTATTATTATTATTATTATTATTACCATTATTAGTATTAATTAACTTTTTTTTCCAACTTGATCACAGTTTCCCCTCCCTGCCTCCTCTCCTCCGAGTCTCTCCCCCTCCAGACACACATACCCCACCACTATCCACTCCTCCTTTCTCTTCAGAAAAATACAGGTCTCCCATGTATATTGGCCAGCTTTGGTGCATCAAGTTGCATTAAGACTAGTTCTGGAGGGGTTCCCAGGCCCAAGGAGAGGTCCCCAGATTGTACTCTGGACAGCAGAGGAGAGGATGCCTGAACTGGCCTTGGCCCATAACCATACTGATGAATATTTTGCATATCACCATAGAACCTTCATATGGCGATGGATGGAGACAGAGACAGAGACACATATTGGAACACTGGACTTAACTCCCTAGGTCCAAATGAGAAGCAGAGGGAGGGAGATCGTGAACAATGAAAGCAAAATCAGAGGGAACCCTCATCCGACGATGGATGGAGATAGAGACGGAGACCCACATTGGAGCACTGGAAGTCAGGACCGCGAAGGGTGCGTTCAGCCACTGATACAAGGGGACTGATCGAATGAGAGCTCACCAAGGCCAGCTGGACTGGGACTGAATGAGCATGTGATCAAACCGGATTCTCTGAATGTGACTGACATGGGGGCTGACTGAGTCCCCGAGGTCCAAATGAAGACTGAGAAGTCATTGACAATGGCACTGGGTCTTGTTTCGTCTGCATGGACAGGCTTTTTGGGATCTTGGCCTGTTTGGATGCTCACCTTCCTGGACCCGGAGGGAAGGGGGAGGAACTTGGATTCCCCACAGAACAGGAAACCCTGACTGCTCTTGGGAATGGTGAGGGAGGAGGAGAGGGAGTGGGGGAAGAGGGAGGGTATTGGGAGGAGTGGAGGAAGTGGAAAGAGTGTTTTCGGATACTTGAATAAACAAAAAAAAAAAAGAAAAGAAAAAAAGACTAGGTACCTACTTTTCTATTAAGGCTAAAAGATGCAACGTAGTGGGAGGAAAAGGTCTCAAAAGTAGGTAAAAGAGTCAGAGTCTGTCCCTGCTCTCACTGTTAGGAGTCCCACAAGAAGACCTGGTCTTCATAGTGAGTTCTGGGACAGCCAAAGCTACACAGATAAACTGTCTCAGAAAAAAAATGGAAGGGGCACCTCAGTATAACCTTTATGCCAGCACAATATATTCTGTTGTACAACATATCAGATACATTTCTAATCTAACTATGCAATCTTAAACTTACTGGAGTCAGTTGGGATGCTGGGAGTCAACCAAATCTGATAGGTGCTATGAATGGTGTTGTTATGTTTTGAGTTGTTCCCCTTCTAGGACAGAAGGGCCCTCTACACAGGGTGAATCCTCTCTAGGACAAATGGGCCCTCTGCACAGGGTGAGTCCACTCTAGGACAAATGTGCCCTTTCAACAGAGAAATTCCACTTGACCTCTGTGCAATGGCTACTGAGTGTTAGGACCCTGATCTTGTTTTGAAAGACTTTCTACTTGGAGACCAGTTGCACAGCTCTGAATGCCTCTTTTTTTTCCGTTTTATTCTGTTTATTTTTAGTCTGACATGCTGCTAAGTCACAGGTCTATTGCTCTGAGACTGTTTTATTGAAGAAGGGAAACTTTTCTCTGTCCCTACGCACGTCTTTGAACTGCTTTCTGATTGAACTCAAGGAGCCGGTTTAGTCCCTGTTCCCTAACAGGTGTCTGTTGTATGAATCCACTTTCCCCATGTCTGCTTGCTTTTTTCTTGGAAAGACTCTTCTGATCTCTACTTCCCCCCCTTCCCTGTAGGGATGAATCTTTCTGGTAAACTCCTCTCCCTCTAGGTTCTTCTACTCTGGACCCCCAACCCAGTGTACTTTGCTTTCAAACCTTCAGGTTTCTCCCCTGTGGATGCTAAAGCTATCTGGGTAATTATCCCCACAAGATAGTTGAGGAAACTAGGACTCTAGCGCTTAAATGGTTTATTAATGATCACCCAGCTGCGAGTAGAAATAGATGGAAAAAATTGGGTCTGATGATTCTCACTGAGTTGCCAGGGTTATTTTCTGACACACTGAACTTCATCTAATTAGTGCAACAGGG